CATATCACCATCGCTTAGTTCAAAGTCGAAAATATTGAAGTTTTCCTCAATGCGGTTTTTATTAGTAGATTTCGGAATTACGATTGCTCCGTTCTGAATCTGAAATTTATAAAAATAGACATTGATAAAAAATATATTGTTAATGTTCTCAATTCCAGAAAAAAAATCCTAATGATAAACATACGGTATAGCGCAGTATGATTTGAGCCGGTGTTTTATTGTATTTCTTTGCCAATTCAAGAACTTTCGGATCAGAAATTGCCAATTTTTTGCCATTTGAAATTGGCTTAGATGGTTGGCCCAGCGGTGAATATGCTATGATTGTAACATTTCGAACTGCACTGAAATCAATTAATTTCCGTTGATTGAGATTCGGATGACATTCAACCTGATTTGTTACTGGTTTTATTTTTGAATTAGAAAAAACACGTTCGGTTTGTTCACTGTTAAAGTTAGATAAACCAATACTGTGCACTCGACCACTTTCAACTAATTTTTCCATTGCATGCCATGTATCCAAATAATCAACATCTGATGTTAATGGTTTTCCTAATAAGTAAAAAATAATTAAATTAAAACAAACATACAGAAAAAAGTAGTGAAGTATTGTTACCATCACTTCCAAGCGGAAATATTATTTCCTCTGAAGAAGCTGAGTCACTTTTAAGAATACGTTCATAAGAAACGGGAGAGTGCATTAAATACAGGTCAATATAGGTCAAATTTAAGTTATCAATTGATTTCTGGAACGCTTTTTCCACCTGATCGGGTTCGTGGAATATACTCCACAACTAAACGATTTATACATTGAATGTTAAATTTTTTTAATTGTATGTTCTTCATGTATCATAATCCACTTACTTTCGTTGTTATAAAAATATCCTCGCGTTTGATCACCCCTTCGTCAATTTTCGCTCTGACTGCTTTCCCTACTTCAATTTCGTTACGATACACAAAGGCTGTATCGATATGGCGATATCCAATATCAATAGCATCCTTCACTGAGCGTTCACAATCACCAGCAGATGCCTGGATAATTTTTGAATTGTGCGGAATATTCATTTTCGTTCAAATGATCGTTGTGAATCGAATTTCTATGGATAATTAGAGGTTTATACTATGTATTACCTGATCAGTTCCAAGACCAATGACAGGCATTTCATAGCCATTGTTCAACCTAAGTGTGGGTGCCAACTTTGCATCTGCAAAAATCAGCAAAATCTTTGAGAAAATCAAAAATTCAAAACTTCTTAGTACATTTTGATAATAAGTATTTTTTAAAGAATTTAATAATATACCCAAAACGTAATTGTCACTTGTTTCACTTTCATTTTTGCTTTATAAACTCAGCAAACAGAATATTTACTTTAAAAATGTTCCGTACACCCTTGAACAAATCTCAGTAGCGACTGATTTCTTTTCATTTGGCTTGAACTCTAATCAGCGTCAAACGAATTTCGTGTCAACTTCAAAAATTATGTAAATATAAATGAGAATGATAAAACCGGTATATAATCAGAACGTGTTTTAACACTTGTGAATAAGGAACAGCAGCGCGTCACATGATAACTGAAATCTTATTTTGCTCGCAGATCACACCAATGGAAAAACAGGATAAGTGTATGAACTTTTTTTTTCGACCGAAATTAGTGATAACGTGATTTTTTTATGATCGCACATCAGCTCATGAATAAACAATTTTTTTTCACGTTTTGTGTGCATTATACCGAGTCTCCGAGAGTTTAATATAAGCTGATCTTTACAAATATATTGAAACTGATAAATTATTTCGTTGCTTTTTGGAAATTAAGGGGCTAAGAACTCCAATTTATTGAATGTTACTATTCAAACTTCGTTATTATTTACATTATTACACTAGTATTTACATCTATTTACCGTATTGAACGATATTTAGAAATATTGGTCTTATTGAGCAGGGGCGTACCCAGAGAATTAGTTATCAAAGGGTGTTAAAATTTTGCATAGTGATAGCTGACAATTTTTCAGGAGGTATTGTGAAATAAAAATTTGGGGGTTCTTGGAACTTTGGGCAGTTATGGGCTAGGGGGTAGACACATGGAATGGGATTAGATTTTTAGTGTAAAAATTCGAGAAATTGAAGTGGAATAGACAATTCAGTAGCTGGATTCACATGGATTCACTAATCTCATGTATAGAATAGCGAAAATGGGGTTAGATTCAATGTTTTTGTAATGGATAGTACAGAATTTGATCAAAGCATTGAACTTGTTTTGAGATAGTAATTTGTTCTTTTTTGAAATATTTTTTTAGTTCAAAAGTCGATTACAAATTTACAAAACAATAGATACACTTTCTCAAAATTTGATTGATGAGAAAAATATTTTGAATTATATCAATAACAAAATGTCATACTCCAGTGTCGATAAATAAGTTTTCAACAAAGCGGCGAGATGTGACATCATATTTGACAATGAAATGACGGATTGGTGGAATAGTAGGATTAGTGTTTATATATTGGAATCATGGTTTAATCGTTTGTGTCTCCCCCCTAGGTTATGGGGCAAACCGTTTTTTTAATTTTGGACCTGTTGAACCTACAGATTTACCAGCATTGAAATTGAAATGTTACTAACCATTACATTAACATAAATGTTTGTAATAGCTACTACAATTGTATTAGATATTACTGTAATGGTAAAAATCTGATATTACAATTGTAATAGCATTACAGTAATGCTTCGTTACAATAACAATATGTTACCCGTATTGTTAAAAATCTAACAATAATATTGAGAATTTTCAACAATTGAGAATTTTCAGTTTGTGTCTGCTCTAAGCTCATCATTGGAATTGATTGGGTTGATGAGCAATTTCAACTTAAAGTTGTGTTGAAAAGTCTCAATATTAATGTTAGATTTTTGACATTAGCGGCAGCGTTGAGTAACACATTATTATTGTAACGAAGCATTGCCAGTAATGTTATAAGAATAGCAATAGCTATTACTGGTAATGCTAAAATCTAACGTTACAATTGTAATGACGTTACTGTTTTTCAGCGGAAATTAATTTTCTTTTTAATTTTGCTGGGATTTTAGCGCTGATTATTCGCTGATTATTATATAAAAAATAAATGTGCATAACATAACCTCACTTATAATTACGTAATTAAAATTTACGTAATAATGTGAGCTAGAAAGTGAGGTTATGCAATTCATATTTATTTTGAATTTTTTATTCAATTATTTATTTGCAAATATTTTGAACGGGATTGGTGTCACAAAAATGAAAATGAAATTGATCCTAGTGATCCTGACAATTTTTATTCTTATTCTGAAGTTTAGTTCATTAAGTTAATTGGATGTTGGATGGTTTATTCATTAATCTAGCGTCCAGTTCCATAAAGGAATGATTTTTGTTTTGTTTTTGTTCGACAATTTTCAATATTTTCCCAAACTCTCGAATGTTTTGAGTTCTTAGAGAGCACTCTCACTGGCTTCTCAGTGTCTCCGCTCGTTTGCATTACTTTCAGTCTTGTCTTTCAGTACGTAGAATTGGCTTAGCCGTCATATAAATACCTCCTTTTGAACTAATATATTTTCAACTCACATCCCAAATGGTTAAATTGCGGACTTACACTGTTCGGGTAGTCAGTAAAAGACAATGGTTTTTTTTTGTATCATTT